CATTCTGACGGCATTTTAGCCAAAGGATTTTTATAATTAATGTGCATAAATAAAGAATAGTTGTATTAACTATACATGTGAACAGAGTTTTATGGGGCCCCCGGGAACTTTGGGCCCCTAGGCTACTGCCTGGTATTGCCTAATGGTAAATCTCTCCCCTGTCTGGACTCGCCAGACTCCATCATCAGTTAAGCGTTTTTTAATTCCAGCCTCTCCTCCTGCAGTCACTGTTAACATCTCCTGTGAACTGCTTTATTAGGAAAGCTCCTGTCACCTGCTAACAGAGACTGGGCTATGCAGGAGTCAGAATCAGGATTAATAATCCCACAGCAAAGGAGAAGGAAGTCAGTTCTACAGCTTTATTATTGTATCACGAGACCAAACATGACGATAGAGCTACAATCACTAGATCACATCAATAGTCAAAGCGCTGCAGCGGATCACATGATGGTAACTCTCTCTGGTGAGATGTTGGCCGCTGAGCCCACCGGCTCCAGGCGCCGGCCCTTATAGGGACTGGTGTCCTGACCCTTCCTGATCCGGTGGAGCCGGTGACCCACGCAGGGCAGCAGCATCAGCACCTTGCCCAGTATGACGCACACAGGCAGAGCCAGGGACACCACAAAGCTGGGGGGCAGGTAGAAGCGGTACGAGTCCTGGTCAAAGGCCCGTTTCCAGCCAAAGAGCAGGCCGTGGAAGGTGGCGATGAGAAGGGCGATGTAGCCCAGAGTGGACTGTGGAAAAACAAGGAGAAACGCCATGACAGAAACAGAAAACATCGCTGTTCACACTGAGCAGACCTGCTGAACGCCTCTGTCCAGAGGGTGCAGATGCATCTCCATGGTTACATTTGCAAAGCCTCGCCAGGAGGAGCTGTTACTCACCGCCATGTTTAGTGGTACCACATTCTCCTAGCTGCGGAAATTCGCTCCTGACCAGCATGCCTAGGCTGGATTGGCTATTTCCTCTGCTGCCTATCAGAACCACTTGGCCAGCATTAGCTTCAAGTGGCTGGCTTTAGCATCAGATTGGCTACAGTTAGGATCATATTGGCTGCTGTTAGCATCAGATCGGCTGACTTTAGCATCAGATTGGCTGGCGTTAGCGTCATATTGGCTGGCTTTAGCATCAGATCGGCTGGCTTTGGCATCAGATTGGTTACAGTTAGCATCACATCGGCTAA